TTTCAAGCTATTTTCACTTTTTTATCTAAAGCTTCTAATTAATCTTACTTAAGATTTAGTCTACGTCTATGATAGTTCAAATTTAGATTATGCTTTTTGATTATTGAATGGGTTTTCGTGACTACCAGTAAATCAGATATACGAGATGTTTTTACCCTATTTCCTTTAGAGTGATGAAGGACTGGTAGTTAAATTTTCCCACAAAGATATGAGTAGAGCTATAGTTTTCCTTGAATTCAACATAGACTTGCTTTCTGAAAAGGTGTTCTCATCCAAGATGGACTGCAGTTTCGACCTCGCCTAGGTTTTATCAACGCCCCCAGAGGGAGTCAAACCATGAGAGTGCAGCGTGTAATCTCGATACGTTAACCATTACGCCACATTGCCATGAGTATTTGTTTCTAAAACCTACTCAATAATGAAGAAAGTAATGTCGTCGATTGCTATAGCAAATATAAGTTTGCTTAATCGACAATTCCAACACACAATGTGTTATGAAAAATGTCTGACCTTCCTTGAAATTCACATCTGTCCTTAACCCAAAAGCACTTGTGGCAATTTGGTGTAGTGGTTAAGGTGGCGAGATTACACGTTGCACTGTCAAGGTTCGACTTGCGCTTGGGGTGTTAATAAGACATATGCGAGGTCGAGACTGCAGTCCACTTCAGCCGGGATGAGAACACCTTTTGGGAAAGCAAGGCTGTATGCAATTCAATGGAAACGTCAGCTTCACTCATATCTTTGTGGGAAAATTCAACCACCATTTCTTCATAACCTTAAACGAACTATGGTGAACATATATGATTTTCAACACCGGATTCTTTACATCAAAAAGACCTACCTCCAGGCGCCTTCAAACCTTTTACTGTTTAAATTGAATCTATGCAAGCGCATATTTTTCTATAATCCTCATTTTCTTATCATTTCATTAAATTCATGTGTAATTCTTTTTTCTCAATTTCTCAATAAGAACCTCGAAAGTTGTTGAAGTCGAAATTTATTATAACTCAAAGGTACCTTACTTTCCTAATTCTCTCGTCCCTCTTCCGATACATTGCAAAGAAAGTTTGTTGGTCCAAGTGTAACTTGCATAGATTATTTTAACCAGCATCATCTTTACACTACATGACTGAAGAAAATTCATGAATTTTCCAATTTCGTACACAGACTCTATTCGATCTTTTTTATGCAATCTAGTCTCATTGCCTTGCAAACTCCTAAGCTCATACTAATTATTTATCGTCTGGCATTCTTGCCATGTTACCTTTTAGTCTATAATCTTTGACCATTGTATTAGTATTGCCCGGGGATCATTCATCAAAAGCTCTGGGAAATAATATGGCAACTTGTCTAGTGAATCTATCTTATTCGATGCTTCACTTTGTCCGTTACCCTTCGTACCTCGTTCGCGCTATATTCTACCAAGTCTTATCTATTTGCCTTATTTATACTGCTGACTGTTTGTTTTAACTATTCTCATTTGAAACGCTTCTGTTTTCATTCAGAATTCATGCCCACTCTCCTTATTATTGGTTAACAAAAAATTTGAGAATATATTTAGTCAATGAGAAGAGACGCTGTGCTATTTTCTTTGAAGTATTCTTTTAAATACAGTCGATTTTTGAAAATGCCTTAACACCTGGAATCAGAAGTTCTTTTAAAACTTTTTTATTTTATTTGTATTATCTGATTTTAGCCCATTTGCCCTTTGCATCTTTACATAATCTCTTACTAATTGTCTCCCAATTTAAATTTAGGCTATTAAATATATGCCATATTTTAATATTCATTAAATCAAATAAATACGACAGCCTCTTAATTTCAAGCTTTTCTTGCTTGCCTCCTCTTCCAACTCGTCTCGTTTGCATTTAACCAACAGATGAATGCTCGAACAACACTTGGTTTGCGATACAACGACATCTCTGTGCTAGAAAATCATCACTGCGCCGTGGCATTCGACCTTCTTCATAGCCCTCTCACCAACCTCCTGGCCAGGATGCCCACAGAGTCGCAACGTTGGGTACGACAGGCAGCCGTTCGGTGGGTCTCTAAGTGATACCCTCTCAAATTTCATTCATTTCGCCTCATAACCAGCTTTTTCATAATTCACTAGAACTTGTTGTTGTTAGATCAAAAATATGAAGACTAGGACGGTGTCATATTTCCTTTGGAAACGGTAATGAGGTTGGTTTTGTTTCGTTTCTAAATCTAGTCAGTTTATCAGGATACTTCGAAAAAAGACCTACCTACTGCTTCATCTACTTTTCTATTGCTTTCTTCCAACATCTGAGGTTTCTCTCGAACGGATATACAATGGAATTGTACGTTGATGTGCAGGCTGTGATGAACAGATTGCATGATATGGATATTTGTAGAAGACTTGAGAGAACAGATGTATAAAGGTTGCGAAGCTGCAGCCACTACTGATTTAGTTAAGCATTCTTACTATTCTGATAGTCGGGACGATAAATCACAACTTCTCCATTCATTATGAGGTAAACAAAACAGATTTTTTTGAGGGTTGCTTCATTGAACGCAACGACCATGAACAAATTTACTTTGGAAAGACAGGATTGCGAATTAACCTTAAAAATAAAAAAAATATATTAAACTCAATAAATTGATATAAAAATTAATGTGAAGAAAGAAGATTGGTCCTGAGGATTGAGTTTGTACTTTTC